AACTAGTAAAAGACTTTGTTTTCATTGTTAAAATCTACAATACTCATAATATTTGTTGGTTGATGTTCCATTGATTATGTTAAATAGGTGGGATTTTAGTCTAGATTTAAAGGAACTCAAAATTTTTCTGCTGTTTTGCAGTTTTCTGTAAGTTTGTTCCAGATTTGTGGTGCATAGAAACTGAATGCTGCTTCTCCAAGTTCAGTTCTGGTTCTGGGATGCAGAGCAGAACCAGAAGACCTGAGGGATCTGGAAGGCTGATACAACAGTAGCAAATCTTTAATGTATTTTGGTGCTAAACTGATCAGTGATTTATAAACTAATAACAGCATTTCAAAGTCTATTCTCTCACTGAAAAGGCTCTAGAACTGGTGTAATCTCTCTATTCCTGGTTTTAGTCAGAACGCCTGCAGCAGAATTCTGGATCAGGTGTAGCTGGAAGATGATTTTTTTTTAGACAGAAGATAAACACATGGATGAGTTTCTCTAGATCTTGCTGGGACATTAGTCCTATAATCCTGGAGATGTTTTTAGGTGACAGAAGCAATACTCCGAGCATCAAGGGATTTGCTGTTTGTTTGTTAAAAGGCTTATGTGGCATTTTAATACTCAGTCTTTGCGTGTGTTCCCCACAGTTCCTGACCTCCAACAGGCTGGACTGAATGTTTCATGAGCTCATTCAAAGCACACAGCAGACACAAGGGTACTTCTAATTACAGAATTATATGAATGACAAACATCTATAATTTCCCATGGGCAGAAACAAAAAGATTATCTCTCATGGTTGACTGATTATTTAAAGGTTCTTGCTGTTTAAATGTATCTAATGCCTAAAGATGACATCAGATTTTACATTGCTGTAATCATGACTCAATCTTATTTGTAATTGATTCAAGAAATAGTTATTGTTATTGGTAGGGCTGTCTCAAAGTCATATATATACTTTTATCCTGGCAAAGATAGACTTGACTGGAAGCAATACACTTCTGAGATTTCAGAAATTCCAAACAAAGTCGTTGAACTCTTCAGTGATCCACTCAGAAATTCTGCGTCTAAAAATGTTTTAATTTCCTGGGGATTTAAGGCAGCAAAGTCACCATGTAACTTCAATAAAAACAACTACTTTTTGTAATCATTACCACAGAGAGAGAAACACAGACAGAGGATTTCATTCATGAGTTTGGACATGAGAGATTAGTCATCACAAACTTATATTGATGTCAGCCTACATATTATCCAAACATTATTCCTCTTATATCAACCTAACTCTTCTGGCTAAAGCAGTGAAAAAACAGGACAAAAACAACCTCTTCCACAGGCAGTAACAGCCAAAAGAGGCCTGCTCAGGGTGCCAGTACCCATGACATTACCATGGAAGTGACACTCAAAGAACTTGAAATAAACACTGCATTACTTTAGAGGCAAAAGACCCATCTTAGCAACAGATTTGCTATCCCCACTAACACAATTCAAGCAGGACAATCATGCAGATGCGTAGTGACTATTAAATACAGAGAACCAGATTCATATTTTCTGCCATTTAATTCTATTCATCTGAAGAAGAAAATGCATTTTATGTGTGAGCTTTTAATCTAAACCCTAATATTTTCAAAAGGTGAATGAAGCTGTCCATTTGGATAGCAAAAATATGTTCAAGGAGAGGTATAGGATGGAGGTAGGGAGCTGTGTGTGCTTATGTTCAGAACATAAACATACTGAATTCAGCTCACAACACATTCCTGTAGCTCACTAAGTCAGTAGTAGGTGTGGCTAGAGGTTGGCATCTCGTACATGTACAAATTACAAAGACTAGAGAGAGTCACAAAATTATAACATTATTATTTTCTTAAATACCAAATAAATACTTAGATAACACAAAACATATATATTAAAGATGAGGTGTTACTGGATCCTTTCTGCTGGGTTATTGATGATGTAGGATGAGACTGTGGAACGATTTGTCCTGGAAATGAAACGTTTCTCAGTTTATTCTAACAAATCCTCTCCTGCAAGACAACGTGACAAAAGGGGCAGGCTCAAAAATGTCACCCAACTTAAAAAATAAAAACAAAATTAACTTTTGTATGCCTTGATAAGAACAAAAAGAAAACCATCCTTTCTTCAGCTTCCTGCTTCAAGTCATACACAAAACAAACAACAACTGCAAAACTACAGTCAATTCCTGCATTACAATGACAAGTTCACTTAAATATTTACATTATGGGAAGAATTTATACATCATGACGGTGATGGTAACAAAAATACACAGAATAAATCTGTCAATAAACTGGATGTATTTAGATGAAAAATAAGCCCTCACCTCTCAAGGTGACCATTACAACATGGGAGGGACAAAAACTATTTAACAAAACACATTAGCCTCCATCACATGATGCATTTACATCTAATGCAACGTAAAGGCTTGAACAGGTCAAGTGGATGACCATGGCCATTCAGTTTGAATTCAAATCACTCCCAGCCTGCAGATGGCATCTGTGTTGGGTGAACCCCAACACAGTGGACACAAGAACAATGTCAGCAACACACTTTAACTATATTCAACTTGCTAACGTTAAAAATGTAGTTTTTGTTTTTAATTTTACTTAGAAATTGCAGCGTATTCACTACTTTTACAAATTTAAAACATAACTGCAAAGTCCACAGGATACTTACTTATGCTTACCCAGCAACCCAGAACAGGAATTATAACAAACTTAGAATCCAGAAAAACTGAAGAAAAACATTACAAAACTGAACATGCTTAGAAAGTCCAGAGGATTAGATTTTTTTCCCCCCCTGTTGCTCTTTCCTTTGGTTTGTTATTTTGTTTGTATTTTCTTCTAATTTATGGAAAGCACTTTGAAGTGCCTTGTTGCTGAAAATGTGCTATATAAATAAAATTACTTTACATTCCCTTAACTTTCTTGTGTTGTGTTGATAATTCGTGTATGTATGTATAAAAGCTTGAAATTTCCGATGCACAAATTTTGTTGGTAACTTTTGCCTCTCAAGTTTCATAGAAAATGAATAGATAGTTGAGCAACATCACCTCCCATGCAACTGGAAATTGTCAACTTAATTTTTATTTATCAAGCGCATTTTAGTTAGTTTATTGTGTATCACAACAGGCCTAGTAAGTGATATTTTTGATTTCCAACAAATATTGGAAATCGTAATATTGGATGAAACGGCAATACAACAGAAATGTCTGAGTCATTCAGAGCCAATTGTAGTCAGCCAAAGAAACCAAGATTTTTTAAACTCCTTAATAGCTTTTGGCTGTTTATTTTCGAGCAAAAATGGAAAGTGAAATTCTAATCTTGTTAATAGCATATCAAAATTAGACTACATACATGTGAAATAAATCATCTTGCATGTGCCACCTGGGCGACTTTAATGCTTTCTGATTCCTGTATTTTTATAATCTCCTCCTGTGTCTTTGTAATTACAGCCATTTTAACCGAGCAGGTGACATCTTTTGAAGTACTATTACTTTCCAATCTTATTAGCCTAACACATGTCAGCTTTATTCAGCACTGACAGCTATATTAGCCCAAGTCATAGACCAAGCCACATTCTGATTTCTGAAAGCCTGAACTGAAGCCAAGTGGACTTCTTTCTTTTGTCTAGATAAGGTCATGACATATGGTCATTAAACCATGTCAATAAATGACTAAGTTTCTGAAATGTAAAAATGTAATGATACTCACCATACAGTGGTGTGAAAAATAGCTGGCCAATTACCAGATATTTACTTATTTTTTTGCATGTTTGTCACAATTAAATATTTCAGAACATAAAGCTAAGATCAAACATCGAAGCAACACTACAGATATTATGAGGAAATAATAATTTTACACCAAACTGTTCCTCTAATAAAATTATTTTTAAAAAAGCTTTCATGTCCATTTAGGAATTATAAAAATAAAACTCCTGAAAATGTGACAAAAGCGCTTTTCACACATTGTTTTACTGCTTGAAAAATGCATTATTAATTATTATTATATGAACAGCACATAGTAAATAACCTAAGCATATTTGCATGATTAATTAAATATTAGTTTATTTTACTATGTTTTCTTGTCCAGTGTTGTTTCATAATGTTCTGGTTCAGTATTTTTGAGTGGTTGTTTTTACTAGATTTTTATTTTTAATACATACTTCCTAGGAATTATCTGATTGGATTAAAGAGACTTGTCTGTGATTGGCTGGTGATTTTGTTCTTTACATGGTGACCGCTGCAGGCAGGCAAAGAGCAAGCAAGTTGAAGTCGTCAGAGCTGAATGTGTGCCAGAGCATGTGAAAGCATTTGTGAAATTTAAATGCACAAAATCTAATTTTTGTATGTTTACAAAGGTATGCGTAGGCAGGTAAATCAACACATATTGGTCACTGCGCTCTCACATTAATGACACAAAAATTACGGCATGAAAAAACAACTCTTCTCGTCATCCCACACTGGTTATGTGAAAATATTGGTCTAGCAAAGTTCAATATTTTAGGTTCTCAGTCCTCAGTGGTTCTCAGGACATATTTGCTGTTCCAGAACTCTCTCCTCCAGCTCCCTGACCAGCAGAAACTTGTTGATCACCTATTTAAATACGTCAGGTGGGTACATACAGGAAACACCTGAAACCTGAAGACCCAGGTGGAAAACCTCTAATACTGAAGTGACAGTGGTTGAAGTTCACCCAAGTGTGTTGCCGGTTCAGTTTCCACTATGTCCACCTCTGTCATCTCCTTGGGAAAGACACTCCTACCACCTTACCTGCTGGAGGTGGTCAGAGGGGCCAATGGTGCAATATGGCCGCCTGGTTTCCATCAGCCTGCTCCAGCTGTGGCTACAACCCAGCAGCCTGCTGTTATCAGTGTTTGAATGGGAAGGACTGATTTCATTGCAGAGCCTCTTTGAGGATCCTGAAAAGTGCTTTAAAAGTCTGATGTCACTTTTTAACATATTCAGACTGCAGCTTAATGGAAGCATGAAACAAAATACACACTTCTTTTCTCACTTTATTTTAGTTAAGGGATGTAATAGCTTTATGAGAAACATAATACTCAACTATTATCTAATAACACTACAAAGAGGTTTTAACCAGTCTTATTTTTACACAATAGACATTACTAATCAGTCAATAAAAGGAAGTTTTATGTATGTGCCAGCTGCAAATAACACATAAAACACCGACACAGCACGATTCATGCAATGAAGTGGAACGGTGTTCCCAGTTCCAGACATCTCTCTGCTTGAGCGTGACTTTCTGTGGAGCGTTTCACATGTCCCAAAACTATAGAGACCATTAGGTTGACAGCTAGAGACAATTAAAGCCATCACAACACTCCTAAAACGCGAAGAAATATTCACTGCTTAAAGGAAAACATGCTTATTAACGATTAGTCACTTTGGATAAACCACAGAACAAACTCAGCCTATTTACAACTACATCAGTGCAAGGGTTCACTAAAAACATGCTACAACTTGTCACAAGAAGGTTCATCTTACTGGGAATGAAGATGAAATAAATGCATGCACACAGGCTTTACTCATCTCCCACATTGCATATGCCAAAAACAAGTACACTGAACACTTTGAGATCCTCTAATACCAGGACTAATCTGCCTCTGTAATGGTTAACAGGTGCAAGGTTACATCTTATATAGCTGATGACAGAAAACACAGGAGATGCAAAGCATGAATCTACATTTGAGTTGCAGGAAAGTGTGATTTTTAGTCAAAGTCTCTGTTGACCAAGACCAGGGGAGCCACCAGAGTCCACACATAAAGGCCAATGCAGATCCAGCTGGAGGAGATCTTCACCCACACAGACGGCCACCTGCTGGTCATGGTCTCATAATTGGAGTCAGGGCTGCAGATACAGAGAAACATGCAACCAACAGGTTGGAATGCTGCCATTTCAGACGGAAAATGGAACTTGCTCATAGTGTTCAGCTACAAGTTAAGCATGTGCATGTATGTATGTGTATGCCTTTGAGATTTACATTCACATCTATATATTTCTAAAGTACACCCAACAGGGTGTTGGTGCTCAAACAGCCACCTCAACTGGGCACTATGTCTGCATGACTTCAGCAAATCACACAACAATACTTGTTAAATGGAAAATGTACTCTGCTATGCATACAGATTAAACCATATATTTACATACACTGAGTATTTGACTGAAGTCATACATTTTTAAAGGTAGTTATCTTGCCTCTGAATTCAAAGAAATAACTAACTCGCCAAATTTTCTACCAAGTTAGTATTTCTATCTTCAGACAGAAATTATTTTGGTTATTCTAACTAAACTAAAACAAGAAAAGTTTGGTTGCATTTAACTTCAGACAGTGAGAAAAAAAACATATTTGTGTCGTTTTATTCAGTGTTTGTAAATATGTGGTTTCCACTGTATATTGTTCCAATAGAAACAGGGCTGACTGGATCAGAGAGACAGCTCTGACTCTTTACAAAACATTACTGTCATAAATCCTCTGAGCCCAGTGCAGGATGACAGGAGGTGTGGCGAAGCATCGACTTCAGTACCAAGCAGAAAACGCCTGCCTGGACCATTCTTCTTAAAAATTATAGAATAATCCTCAGAATCCTACCTGTACCAGTTGGTGAGCGTCATCATGATGTAGAGTGACGCTAGGAACAGCATGAAGTGGAAAAAGGAGTAAGAATAGGTGACCCCATCTTTCTCATTGTCCACAGCTCTGTTCAGGCCGCTGCCTTCCTCAAAGCCGTCTGTCTGGGGTCCGTCCTCGATCAAAGCAGACTCATCAGTGGTCAGAGTCAACTTGTTCACCTGGGCATTTGAAGAATTGCGAATACTGGTGGACAAACAGAAACACAACAAGTTAACAATGTGCAAGAGCCGTTTTTTTTTCAACCACTAATTTATTAAGAATCTGAGCATCTCTGCCAGTTCAAAACAAGTTTTGACATAAAGGAGATTCCCACCTGGAGTACAGGACACACATGAGGAAAAGAATCAATCCCACAATCCCTTGAGCATCCCACCATGTAACCACATGGTCCTGACCTTTAGGGCTGGTGCTATTAAGCCCAATGATGCCCAGAAGGCTGGGGTTACAATCTCTGTCTGCAAAACACACCCACACAAACTCAAATCAAAAATGTCCAAACTTTCAGTTCACGACAAGTTCCTGAATGTTCAAACTGAGCAACACAAAAGGTGGAATACTACAGCGCGATCATGAACAAGCTTTTTCATTTATTGAGGTTTCTTCACAGGTTAATCTGTCAGTTATAATACACCTGCTGTATGTTTACATGCATGTATATGTCTTTTTATATTTATATAAAAAGACATATGTATCTTTTTTCACTTTCTGAATTTAATTCAGAGCAAATGTCTCTTGTATAAGACAGAACACCAGGACTAATCTGCCTCTGTAACAGTAAGCAGATGCAAGGTTACATCTTATATAGCTAAACATCATAGTAATGATGGAACGAATATGTCGTATTTATTGATTGATGTCTTCAAAATCAGGAAACCCAGAACATTTCACCCAAGTCATTCAAAGGAATTTGTACTGAATGTATGTAAACATCTGATTTTGAAGACATTAATACATAAATCTGGCTTTTTTTTTCTCTCTCATTATTGTGAGAATTCTCTATTTCCTATGTCCTGCTTCAAAAATATTTTAAGTAAAGTAGAAAGTCAATTATCAGAAGCAAATTTAATGTGATATTAACATCTTTTATTTCTCTTCTCTTTTTTTAAACACTGTGTTAACAGGACAGAGTCATTATAGTAAGTAATAATTAGAAGACGTCCTTCCTTACCAGGCTCATTAGTCATTGCAGACCAGGTCAGATACATGGTATACAGTGTAACCAGGGAGGACTGCAGCAGGCCAGACCTGGGCTGGGACTCCTTTATCAAGAATGTGCAGCGTTAGGAAGAAAGCAGCCAACTGAAAATGTTCACTACCACTTTAATATTTATCAAATTGCTCGACCTAAATTTTCTCTTTGTGCTTTGTTTTTATTAGGTACCATATTCTTAATTAATGGAATTAATACATAAACACATACATAACTAACACTGAAATAAATTCAGTATTTATAGTATTAAAATGTCACAGTTTATTTAGCTTAGTTTACTTGTTAAAGCTTCAATATGTAGCTTTATAAATATTTTGAAACTGTCATTATGTCGTAATAGTGTCATACATGTTCCAGGCATATAGTGACATTTCATACCACAATCATGTTGCCTTCAGTTGTTAAAAATATGCTATACATCAAATATGACTTGACTTTACAATTTAATACCTTGATATTGGATCTCCGTCTCTTTAAAAACTCCCGCTCTTTCTGGAAGTCTACCTTCAGGAAATCATCACAACATGGCTGTTCTATTAAGCCTTTAACATTTTGACTAGAATTGCTCTGAGAAGTAGCTCATATAAGGAGCTCAGCTGTTCCATCAGGTGTTTGCTAATTGCTGCTGGCTAGTATGAAGGAGCTGAGGACTCTGTGAAGCTGAAGCTCAGAAACCACAGGTCAGTGGAGGAATTTTGGCCTTCATAAAACGGATAAAACCAGAATCAAAATATAAATTGAGGCGCTTCATATTTTGGTCAGTCAGATGTTATTTCTAAACATTAAATGTTTGATCATTTAAATCACTTAAAATTAATTTCAGTTAGACAGTACTTGAATAGGCTTTTTACCAGATACATTTTTACTCTTGTGTGAGTAATTTTCTAGTTGGCTACTTTTTACTTTCACGTGAGTAAAAAATATGTTCAACTACCTTTACTCTTACTTGAGTATCCAAATTTTGGGTACTCTGCCCACTACTGGCCAAAATTAACTTGATGGCGTTATGGCAACACTGGCTTTATCTCAGATCTTGTATTTCTGAATCCAACTTTTGTGAAAACAGCCCTCGCATGTATTTTTGATGACGGTATAAAACATTATAACATGATGTAAAGCTGAAAAAAATCAATTTGGCATAATACAGCCCCTTTAAATGACAAGATGCTTCAAAAAGACATGCTTATTACCTGAATTTGTGGTAGAACAGACATGACAGAGGCTGTGACGCACAGCAGCAAGTTGATGCTAATGAAGACCTTATTTTCAGTGCAGCCATCAGAATGGGTGTAGTAGACATAGAAAAGAACCAAAGAGACCAGGGACAGAAGGTAGTTCAGGGCAGTGACTGAAAGTAGAGCTGCAAAAGCAAATCAAAAACCAATTTTAGATAAGCTATGTTCAAAAACACAATAGGATGTGCAGTGTAACAACAGTATATACACCTCTCCAAATTTTCTACCTGCCACAAATTTCAATGTATTTAATTAGGATTTTATGTGGTAGAAACCCACAAAGTAGTACATAGCAGGAAAGAGGAAGAAAATTAACTAATTGTTTTCTAAATATTTTAGAGCAAATTTTGAAATCAGCTTGGCTGAAGCAAGTAAACATCTAACTCAGGCTGGCAGAGTCCCTTAAGGACCAGGGTGGGAACTGCAGAAAGTCTATGGAGGTCTGAAGGTGTGTTAGAGTTTTTAGTCAGCAGGTAGAACAAGAACATCAGGACCAAAAGGCTCCACAATAAACATGGTTCGGTCTTCGTCTTGGTGAGTTTTATTTCATATACTGTTTCAGACCTTAAGACTGTTAAACAGGGTACACTCCACCTGTGTCAGGCAATCGCACATGGAATATTTAATAATGCTGGTTACACATCTTACCTTGACCAGAGGTGTTAAATAAATAAATGTATCAAGTTATTTTAGGTTATTTTATGTTAATTTCTAAACACCACAGAATTAATTCAGTTTTCAAAAAAATGAAATAAAATCAGAAACATCATTCAAGTACCAAGTCTAGAACAAAATCAAATTTTTGATCTATTGTTCTTATAGCCAAATTAGAATTTGCCCTTTAAAACTCTAATGTAAAACAGTGTTAAAGAATAATTTTCCAGTAGACATTCTAATTTTCTCCTAACAAGACAAATCTGAAATGTCATGTTGTGTATGTTTAAACTCCTGAGATTATTATCTTACCTGCATACCAACAGCGAGAATTGCCCTCTTCCATCTTCTCCACCCAAGACTCGTTCCAGGAATGAGCAAAGTCAATGAGTAAAACCAGCTGGATGAGGATGAAACAAAAAGCTCCTGCCATCCCGATGTAGAACCACACTGCAGAGCAGAGCAAGGAAAACAAGCTTTAAATGTGAACTTCACCAGGGAATTCACCTTCAGTTCTCTTGATTTAAACCACTGGTACCTCTACTTATGGACACAAATATTTTCTTGTTTTCTTCTTTTTTTTTCTAACAGGGGAGCTTTGGTGGAACTGGAACCCCTTTCAGATCATTTCAGTTCTGCCAGATGCATTTTTTTACATAATTAACTGAGATCAAAGAATGTGTTTTTTTTTATTTTTTTTTTATTTTTTTTTTTTCAGATCGGATGTGACTGCAGAACCAAAGTTGAGCTCACAGTATTCACCTGAGGAAATGTTTTTAGGGGATGTCTCCTCCCTCTGGCTGAGATCTGTCATGGTGACTGTTTAATGTATTCAGCACCTTCAATAAAGGACAGGTGTTGTTTTCTATCCTCAACATTCTAAGGCCTCAAGTTCTGCTGGACAGATGGACACTGAAGTTTCACCTACACTGTCTGCTATTTGCTCCCACTGCTTTTCTCTTAGAGTTGAATCATTATTTTACATTTCCCTGTTACTCCGTATGGTTCGGGGTGGTTCTGGGTTTGTGGCTACATCATGAGGTGGGTCAGAGTTAGAACACTGGTGGGTCAGAGTTAGAACACTGGTGGGCCGACTACAAGCCCACCAGTGTTGTTGGTGTAAGGTCCCTTGTTGGGACCTTACATAGTGCATTGTTGAAGAAGCATGAAGAACAAGCAAAGATCACAGAACAAAAATACAATTTAAGAGGGTTTCAGTATTAGACACATAGGATCTGATCTACAAAGATTCCAAATAAAGACCGGGAAATTACTTTGAAAACATCAAACAAAAAAGTACAGCCCAGAGAATTTTTAAATATGCAGGAATGTCAGAAACCAAAGTTTTATCCCAAAACATTTTTGTGTCTGACTATTGACTCCATTAATGACAATGTCAATCGATATTTACTGCAATGCCATTCTTTACCTCTTTGGGATAAAGAATGAATGAGGATAATTCACTCGTTTATCACAAAAATAAAACTATTACATTTTTTCAATGTGCACTAGAAAAACCTACAAAGTTCCAAATAATGCCCAACGGAAAGGAATACTTACCAGTAGTGAAAGGGCCCTCTGAGATAAAAAACGAACCAACAGTGATGCCAAGGGCTGCGACAAACTTGAAGAACCAAAATCTGGTACAAAAGGAAAAAAAGAGAGGGAATGCAAATACCAATCAGTCATGCTGATGCTGATTAATGTTAAAATCCAACAAATGCAACTGGAGCTAAAACATTTCCAAACCACTTCTAAAAATCAGAATAGTAAATTATTTAAATATACACATTTGTGTGTATATAATTACCCGTTATGAAGTGCTGCTCGAGGGTCTTGGCTGCTCTTTACTTTGATCATAAGTAAGGAGAATAGTAAGAAGAACATGGCCATTCCAAAGCAAACCCGATACACAGCCTTGTAGCCAACCAGAATGTCACAGTTCACTTTGCCCTCTGTAACAGAAAAAGATGAACCCATCCCTCCTTCACAGAATCCTGGAATCTATAGTGACGCAAAAAAAGACATCTTAGTAAACGTCCGAAGAAAGCATGTGAACAAAACTCAAACAGAGTGGAAAAATGTCAAAGATGGATAAAATACCAGAATTTGATCTCATGAACAATTGAAAATGGGTCTGACACAGCGAGAGAAGGACACATAGATACAATGACAGAAAAGGGCACATAGATACAATGACAGAAAAGGGCATATATTTGGCAGATTAAAAATACATCGTAAGACTAGTAATAATAAAGCTCATAAATGGTGCTGTAGATTATAGTTACTGCATATTCCACATATTTTGTGAGCAAAAGATGTCTGAGTGAGACAGATTATTGCAGCAGGACGGCTGACAATATTTATGCAATAAAACCAAAAACACAATAATTAAACTTCACTATTGTGACTGATTATTTAAAACCAAAAATGAATACTAACAGCCACCAGAGACCAGAAACCAATCACTGAGTCAAAAAGAAATTCAAAATAAAACAAATAAGAAGAATCCCTCCCTCAAAATTTCTTTACAGACTCATATAAAACATTCTTTTAATGTTCCTTATAAATTTAAGCTCAGACTCTCATGTTTTAATATCAATTTCTCTGTGGTTTCTTGTAAATACCTTCACGAACCTGATGTATGACTCATTTGAAAAGGTTCTGATTTTTCATCCAAATTAAAAAAAAAACATAAAAAGATAAAACACTTGTCAAACAAGGAATAACTATTTGATGACTCTAGCTTCTTAAATCCTTTCTAAATGTCATTTCTAGCAGCAAAATTCAACTGTTTTTCCAACTATCTATCACTGTCAAATGTTTTTATATGCTAGGAACAGTTTGAAGGCAGTTCTTTATGGTGAACACATTACCTTTTTGAGCTGGCCCTCCATGCCAGGCATCAACATGATGCAGGCAACAGCCACTCCCAGGAGCAGGAAGCAGGCGTAGATGAGGCGAGTCATGGTCGAGTTATTTCCACCTGGACAGCATTGACACAACAGACAGGGGGCGCTGCCACAAAGACAGGGGATCTGCGTAAACAAAGTAGGTTAGCTGAGGACAGAAAAAGACAGAGGTACTTCTGATCTTAGTTGTGCAACAGTGAGGCTATTAAATACTTGTTGCCATGTATAAATAGATGGTGATGTGTTAAACAGCGCAGGTGGAACATAACATCCATCTGCCTTGTTTACATCATGAACGAATCACGTAGCTAGTTAAGGGTATAGGCTTTTTACTCAGTCACTTATCACCGGAATATTATAGGCTGCGTCACCACTCGACCAAAACAAAGCGGGTTTGCGGCCTGAACCTCCAACGCTCGAATAGATTTGTTTAGAACTGTTTGTTCAACAACAAAAGCGGAAGAGATGTAAAGCCTTTTTCCCTAACGGTTATGCTTTTCTTTCTTTCCCTTCTTTCAGACTTCTGTTCTGCGTGGTTTGTCTTCTTTAAAAATAAACAATAATGGAGAAACTGAATATCCTTGCAACAAGTCAAATGTTTCATTCGGATGTGTATTCTTGGATTTCAAAAAGATTCTCACCCAGCTAGCCATGGAACAGAGTCCCAGAACGGCTCCCATGGTGCAGTCAAGCTGATGGCGGATGTTTTTCTGAAAATGGTGTAACGCACAACAGCCTCTTCTTCTGAAAGTACGTTCAACTGTTCCCTCGTCTGCTGCCCTCTTGAGGAAGACAGAAGAACATTTCTCTACCTGCTCTAATGAATACGGTTTTTTATTTACAAACATTTGCAATCTGGAATAAATAAAAATAGCATTATAAAAATTTTGACTGATTGTAAATAATCTGTCTTTTTAAACTTTTAAAGGTGTTATAATGTAGATCTATCAGACCAGAACATTTATTCTGATTGATTCAACATGTAAGTCACCGACCACTTTTAATATTGTTTCAATGTCCGGCTTCAACATGGATTCAATGTTTCTGCCTGACTATATTTTATTATTGATTCTCTCATATTTTGCTATCTGGGATCTGAATCATAAACCATTTCAAAAGGTTTATGAAATGGCTTATTTCATAAGTCACTCTCTTGACATTTTGATTCTATATGGCCACAATTCAACCAGCTTTATTCTGCATGTTTTATATAAATTAATTTCTTTCCATCTCAAAATTCATGACTTTTTCATTAGTCATCCAAATTTCATAAATTGCAATAATGCTAAAATGCTGTTGAAATGTCTGAGTTTTTATATAAACTTCGGTTAATGAAGTGAATTAAGGTGCTCAACCACACAGTATGGTTTGCACTTTGTTCTAGAGTTTAGTTAAATCAAGACAGGGTTGGGGTTATCCACTGGGGATAAGTGGTTGGGGTTATATGTCCTCATTTTCTTTTCCATGCATGGGAAGAATCTTGTTAATCCCCTGATTTTCTATTAGATTCAAAACTAAATCTGCAACAGTTTTATGATGATTATCATCTAATTGAGTTGATGAAAAGATTCACATAAACTACTTGCTACTTGTTACACTCCATGGCCAGAAAATCCAATTAAACAAATATCGCAGCATTAGAACATTTCAATTAAATTTGGTCAATTCAATCATACTCTCTAATTTATGGTAGTTAAACAGTGTATTAAGCATGTAAGTCACCGACCACTTTCAATATCATTTCAGTGTCCGGCTTCAACATGGATTCAATGTTTCTGCCTGACTATATTTTATCATTGATTCTCTCATATTTTGCTATCTGGGATCTTAATTAAATTTGGTCAATTCGATCATATTCTCTAATTTATGTTATTTATCAAACAGTGTATTAAGCTCTGTTTATTATTACAAATGGAAGGTGACAATTTTGCAAACCTAGATCTCAAGTCATTGAAAGTCGCTTTTGTTGTGTCATTGACTTTACAGCTCATGCTGAGCATACATGTAACAACGATGGACAAGAAAAACTCCACCCCAACAGTAACAAACCCAGAGAACCAGAACCTGGCTCAGTATGAGCAGAGCCATCTTCCATGACTGAGAAGTCAGAGCAGATACACAAAAAAGAAACGGAAGAGCTGATGTAGGAATACAACCATGCTGATGAAAAGTAAATAACAGGAGAGGGAGAATCTTGGTTAATTTTCAATATGGTTGTACACATGTTTGATCAGAGTTATTTTATTTTGTTGTGCAGTATAAATGTTTATTTTTTTGCCTGTGCATGATGTGTCATCAGTAGTTCTCTGGTGTGTTGTCTCACCAGCGGTTATTGCCTACCTTAGCTCTGTGCCTCCTGGGTTGAACCAGTGTAACATTTTGTTTTCCACCCCACCCCAGGTTCCATGAGTCATTGTAATGGATCTTCAGTGGAGATGTTTCCTGTCTTGTGATCGTCCAACACAACTCAACGGTAAGCCTAGTATATTTTGACTCCCTCCCTTATATCCTTGACTCCACCTTCCTCCCATTGCCTCTGTTCTTCTTAAACAATGTCAGATCCAGAGGTTCTGGATCTCCTTCAATTTATTATCATTCTTAGCATTTTTGTAAATAAAACTTTACTTTCTCTATTCTATGTCTCCTTAGTGGTTTTTAAGTGGTAGCTTAGCTCAATTACAGGAACTACAGATTCATACTGTTGGAGAATTCACTCCTTAAGTCTGGGCTTTATGGTAGATTAAAGACAGTAAATCAGTCTGATTCCTTTTTCTTAAAAGTCATCAGATTGGACATTGTTTACATCTTATTTTACAAATGTTCACCTGCAAATATCTAATGTACTTGAGACGCAAACAGCATGTTTTCAATGGATCAAGAATTTCCCTTTCAAAGAATAAAGTTTCATTTTTTTTCTGGCTCAGTCACCAAAGTGACTGCCTTTTTTTATTTCAGGCAAACTGAAACATTTGTCAGTTTCTAAATCACAAATGAAAGGTGACAATTTTGAATTGCGTAACAACAAATAGACCGATAGACTGCTGATGTTTCTCACTCATAGTTAACCTTCTGTCCATTTATTATCTACCCAAAAATAATGAATAATAAGTTTTTTCTCCATCCATTTCTTTTCTGTGGAAATGATATCCACAGAGGTTGGGGAGACAAAGTCAATATTGCAAAACAGTCAGTGGAGATAGCCCTCACAGGTCAGTGTTCATCTCGATTTAGCCTTGTTCCACTGATTTGCAGTATATTGGAAAGTGATTTCATCATGAAACACGAAGTTGTGGCATTAGACAAGCAACTCATCATTCCTGATTTTTTCCTCTTTTAGCCATCCTGAAAGGTTTTAGTCCAGAAGAAGGATGGGTGTGGTCATGGTACACAGGAAGGAAGTCACCTCCAATCCAGCCTCTGAACAAACATGTTAGACCTGATCCGTCCTCCTCTCTGAAGAGCAGAACAATCTGCAGGTCATTGTCCAAGCCGCTGGTGACAGGCACTATAATGCTGCAGGGCACCAAATAGGTCTTCATACGAAACGTTTTTGTGGGAAGGCAGGGAACTGATGGGGGACAAAAAACATCGATCAGATGATAAAAACAAAAAAAGAACTGAAGATATCAAGGACATAGCTGGGTAGTGTTCATGCCGTCCCTCACAAGATGCCACACTGGGTGGCTGCCCATGTAAGAAACCGCCGCTGAACCAGAGCCAGGAGGCGGGTCTTAGTGCTGTCACTCAATGACACATACTGACTGCTAACTGTACTAGTGGCGGAGAAACAATTTTGTGTTGCATGCAAAACCACATGGCGGTCATCGACGATCATGCTAACTAGCCTAGGATTCACAATAGGATCTGGTGATAGAAAAAAATTGTAACAGCAGCAGAGAAAAAGGGGAGGAAGTGCAAGGAGGAGCAGACTAAGACCAACCTCCTGGCTCTGATTGACTGTTTCTAGTTAGCACCAGAAGGAAGTGGAGCGCACTTTTTTCACAGGTTATCTGTCTCATACCATATTGTAATGACAGAGTGACAGTTTTAATAAATATGAAAAAATATATATATTTTTTTGTAAAACTTACATAGTCCAGCTTTAAGATCCACCAGTATAAAAATGTTAATTTTTGCCATTTTTCAACTGATCTTAACATTTTGATCAGGAGTGTATGCACCACTACATTCTGTGTGATGAGTCTGAAGAACAGACAACAGCTTACAAAAACTCTGTGAGTCTGATGTGCCAGGGGAGGAAACCCAGTGTGCTGTTCACAGGACCAAACTTCACCACCAACTCAGGGTCGGGGATATTTTTTGATTCTGAAAAAATAAAAAAAACAGAAGGTCATATGTATTAAATGTCATGGTTTGAGGAAGGTTGGATAACATTACATGATGAAACTGAACAAACTCAAACAAACTGAACCAAATGGTAATCACCAGGTCTTTAAAAGCAGACCCACTGTAAGTCATCAAGTGTACATGTGCATCCAAAGTTCTATAACTAGTAAGGAGGAAAAAGCCTGAAATAACAACACATATCATTTATACATCAAAATACCTAAAGGAAATAAATATGGATTGTTTTTAGATTAAAGGTAAGATAATATTGTTAATGCACATGTGTTTGTTAAATCTATGCCTAATAATAAGAGGAAATACATCTTTCAAACCGTAATAAAGCTTATCAAACTTCTACATCTAAGAGGGAATAATCACTTCTCCTTCTTTTTAAGGAGTATTTATTTTATGCCTTTACCTTTTCAATCTTATTTTTGATAACACATGCAGACAACTGAAAGAATAATGCACAGCAGAAAATCATGTTAAGTGTTTATCAATGTTCTGATGCATATGAGCGCTGAGTCATACCTCTGAGAAGTACGTCTAACATGGAGACGCTGATGTCTTTCGAGGTCCATTCCTTCTTCTCCACAGAGTGACAAAGTTTTCTTGCAGCCTGGACAATACTGTGCTTTCCATCCTCTGGAGACAGGACCTTCACTGTGGGTCTACAGGACACAACTGACAAGCATTCAGAGTCAAAAAACTTTAAATACTTCAGGCTTTTGTTTATCTGGAGAATATAACAAGGCCTTTCTGAATTAATTAACACCTGTCTTATATAAGGCCTATAATTATTTCCTGATAAAGGGAGACCCCCCCAATAATGGATGGAAGCAGTGATGAGTGTCAACCTAACGAAAATTTTTAGCATCAATCTATCAAGAGATAAATTTTTCAAAAAACCTAAATAAAGTAAAATAACATGCAGGTAGAAGTAAAACAAAATTACCTTAAAATCTCAACTAAGGTTCTGTTTTAAATTCTTACCAAAGTTTTGGGGTTTGTCTGTGCCGTTTTTCAGTAACTCCATACTGAATGTAGAGTCATGTCCACCTAACAGGTTGTGCTGTTGCCTCACTATCTCCTCCTGAAGACAAGAGTTGTTCTTCTGGAAAATACCTGATGAAAAACATGTGAGTCAAAACTTAATTTCACTTAGAATTACACAGCCCTGCAGGGGACATGGAATCCTGTACTGATCAGTTCATGCGGCATAATTATATACTGTAAGCCTTTCTTACGGTGGCCGCCGCACTTTCTGCTTTAATATAAGGTTATGTGAGGTTTTTCCATGAATGTTAATATCTCTTTATGAAATATCTGAAGTTGTGTATCTTTTGCTTTAGGATAGAAAGGAACCAAAAAAGTTATGATATAAACAGAAAATTTCCATAAGTAGGACAGAAATAAAAATACTTCCTGATTTGGACTATTTCTGAGTTATTATCGCAGATCATTTGACAGTTTTGATTATGTCTCTGTTGTGTTGGTTGAATGGTTTAAAGGGCCGTTTTCATGTTCAGTTCCATCTCAACCTAAACAACCATAAACATGCAGTGAATAAATTTACTTTCAATCTATTTTGTGCACCAAAGACTTAATAATAATAAACATGCTATTATTATAAAACGCAACAAACTAATGGTGGTCGAGGGCTGTACTGGGTTAACTCGGGGAGTCTCATCTGTCTGTGTATCAATCAACTCCAAACCATTTCTTTGTTCTATCACAATTATCTATTTATTCCATTTTGATTATTATGCTCCAAACTTTGCAAGGTCTGACCACCCCACTCATTGATTCTTCACACACACAAAGGCCAGTAACCTTCAATTTATACTTTAGGACACACCTACCACCCAGATGTCAAAGTTGTGTGCTCCTGTCATATCAATTACTACTTATTTCATTCATATGGCTCTTACAGAGCATCAGTGAAAACATGTTTATTATTATTATTAACTCTTTGGTGCAAAACACTGATTGAAAATCGATTCATTTACTGCATGTTTATGTCTGTTTAGTCTAAGATGGTTCGGCACTGAAAGCAGTCCTTCAAACCATTCAGTCAACCAGCACAACAAATACACAATTAAAACTGTCAGATGACTAATTAACTCTGATAATAACTCAGAAATAGTCCAAATAGTTTGGATGTACTTTTATTTCTATTTTATAAATAAAAAGTTTCTATTTATGTCATAGGTTTGTGGCGCCTTTCTATTCAAAAGAAAAATATATAGAACTTCAGATATTTCACAAGTAGATATTAACATACAGGGAAAAACCTTACATAACCTTGTATTAAGGCGGCCAATTATACCGCATAACTGATCAGTAGATTATTGCGAGGGAAAGCAAAAGAAAAATAAATTTCCATGTACCCTGGAGACTTTCATAAAGAGAATGAAAGTAACTGAGGTTTTGCATTTTATTTCTGAATCTTTCAAATGGCTGAAATCCTTCTGTGGTTTGCTCAGTTCAAACGGTTTTCCATTCATCTACATTTCTTTATGAAAGCGTTCAGCATGTTTCTAAATTTTGAAATACTAGTCATCGTCAACTGACTTTATCCCATGATCCCAAACACTCAATTTCACACCTCATCATTTGCATGTATTTAAATATTTAGTGTTTTTCCTATCAGAAAAAAAAACGACTGTCATTACGAAATGGTAATAACAGAAACTCAAAAGATTTATCTTAGTTCAAGTCTGAAGTGAAAAAATATAGTTATTTTTTATAGTTCATGCTTAATCATACAACCAACTTTTGAAGGAGCGTCAATGATTAAAACTAAGAGCATACACAGCGCAAAGACATGATAAACTTATACTGTAAACCTGGCAAACTAAAGTTTTCACCGTGATGATCGTAGACGCTGACGTAGGAAACACCGACAGCCATACACCAGACCACCATGTTGGCGATGTCCGTGTAGCTGAGCTCCTCCTCAGCCACTACAAGGCCGATGTGGACCGGTAGTTTCTCCAGCGAAATCCCGTCAGATATCCAACGTGACTGACGGCTTCCAGCGCCTTTGCAATCACCGTCACCGTCAGAACTCTGATTAGCACCGGCCTTCTCCTGCTTGAACTCACACACAGGAACCGGCAGTAGCAGACCAGCCATTGTCCGCTGCCAGAAACGGCCTTTCCATATTCGAAGACGGACTCGGAACCAGGAAACTGTCGCTCTTTTGATGCGGACTAAAGCTAGTAGAAGGCGCCAAATAAGGCCGTAAAGCAACGCCATTGCTGGTCTTGTAAACGGAAAGGAGATCGTCTACCTACAGAGGTTTCTTCTTCTTCTGTACTTGAAAACGGGTGTCACGCGGCTTTAAATTGTATTACCGCCACCCGGCGTGAGGATAAACTCTCCTCCAAAATGTAAACAGGGTTTTAAAAAGTGATGCATCGAAATTCTCCAACAATGCTCTCAATTTTACTTTGTTGTTTTCCAGCCTTGCTGTGGTATCACTTTAACTTAAAGCGATTCTAACTGACACAAAAACAAGCCTGTGAAAACAGGCGTTACATCGCAGATGTTTGCATTAATAATAGAATTGCAATCATTGTCAATAAATTCCATTGTCTAATAACTTAAATGAAATGTATTTATTTTACTATAATCTGAACTATTTATTTCTATGTAATTAAAGACGTCCTCTTAATCGGATCTTTGTTTTCTATAGGTCAGGAGTTTGATCAAATATCCATGAGAATGAATTGTTTTTTTTAAATTATTTTAAATCATATTGTGTGCTTAAAGACGTCCTCTTTGTCGGATTTAAATTTGCCGTAATTTTCACGATAACGGCAAACTTAGTCATGAAAAAACAATACAGTCTTACACTCTTACAAACAATTGGACATTGGTTTCACACACTCACAGTGTGTTAAACACCGACAGAATATATACACTTAAAAGAAAATACAAAGGTTAAAAAGTATGGAGAAGAGCAACATATACAAACATGTATATAGGTAACGGGTAATAGATACAGATGAAATTCTTGCTTAAATATATTTTGTAATTACCATGTGATGAATGGTTTTTGGCGCCCCCTACTGGTTGCCTATAAATAGGGGGAGAAGCTGTTAGATTCCACGCAGTCTGTTTTGCGCTCTACTGTGGTAAGTCACCAAATCCAGTTCTTTTCTGAACAGTCATAGTGGGTGTGCTCAGAGACTGACGTGGAGTTTTATTGCAGTATGCGGAGAGCTGGTGGACCAGAAGGGAAGCTCACTGTGCTGATTTGTGTTAACCACTCATTACAGGTAATTATGTTACATTATTTATCAGGGTTTTTTTTCAGTTGAGTTTGTCAGTTTGTCTTGTGCATGTCGGTTTGCTGTGATTGCCAGTCTGTCAGTTTGTTTGTTCCCTGTTTCTATGACGACATGAAGTGGCCAGCTTTGTTTTCTGTGAAACACCAGAAGTTGCTGTTAAGTAGTTTAATAGTTAATTTTTACTGTCGCCTATATTTATTTTTCTGATTTGTTTAATTGTAAAAGAAAGACTAAGTTGTATTAAATTAATTTTAAAGCTGTATTATTAATCAAATATCACTATACGATCATTTGTGAGACACAGTCTGTTCAGCGCTCTACTGTGTACGCGGAGAACTAGTGGACCAGTAGGGAAGCTCACTGTGCTGATTTGTGTTCACCACTCATTACAGAAAATTCAACCAACTGGCCTCCTCTGTGTGCATGATGGGACAGGCAGTGGGGAAGCTGTTACATATGCACAATATTATTTCCTTCTCTACAAAAGCATGTTGTGGTAGTGCAAAGATACTCTTCACCTGCTGCCAATACATCTTTCAAAATAATTTAATCTATAGATAAAATCTGAATTTCAGAAATTCCTTGTTGTGATTTGTCCAACAAGTCCATTTATGAGAGACATTTTACAACAGCAAGTTGAGCCGTTCCATCAGACAACATGACACTTCCAGGTAAGTCTGTTCAGTACTCAGAATTATTTCCACACTATGAATTAGAAACAATTCATAATATGGAATTGTTTTTCTGATCAGATCAGAAAAAGGTTCAACCCATTCACAACCCAAAAAACTTTTTGAGAATCTTTCATTCTTGAAAAAAGTGTAAGAAATAATATGCACTCATTTAATGTATTTTAAGAGCGCAAATAACTCCACTCGGTGAAGAAAAAGGTCTCCTTTTTCCAAAATTCACACAGAATTTATGCCTCAAACTCATAGCGTGAGAAATAAACTATGGACAAAATCTGAGAGTCCTGCAATTTTCAATACTGGATATCAACGACAACCGAGTCGTGTCACCAAATGGATGGAAATTTGAAGAATACTGGAGAAATTAAAACCAACGGGTGAAAGAGAGGAATAACTAAAACAATACTTACTATAGGGATATATAACAGACAAGTGTGTGATCATCAGGCAGGAGATTAAATGAAGCGTAATTCCACTCCACACCAGGTGGTGGAAGTATGGAATGGAAATACTCTGTTTACTGACGAATCCGAAAAGAAGGTCTCATCATGTCTACCTTACCCCTTGTTTACTTACCCCTTGTTTACTTCAAATGTCAGACTCAGCTACTCCTATCAGTTACATGTATTGCATGAGATGGCCACGCTTCTTCTCGTTACATTGTATGAATACTCTCCACTCTTCTACATTGCTGTGGTTTCTCTGTGTTTTCTCGTGACCGCTGCCATCGTGCTGGGTTGGTAAGCAGTGTTCGCTTAACTTCCGTTTTTATAAAAGACGCTCTTTTATAAAGGTAAAATATTTTCGCCTTTTACTTTCGCATCTTTCGTCCATCAGAAGCATGTTTTTGTCTTGCTGATGCAAAGACGGCTTATAATGCAGATGTCTTTCAGATTCTAACCGCCCTCATCAAGACCAGAGAATGAATTCTGTGATGAATAACTAAAACTAAACATTTGATTTCATGTGTACATATGAAATGTGTTTTTTGTTTTTGTGGCATTGTGAAGAGGAAGGTTGGCGTTTGCTCAGAACACACACCAGCCATCATAAGCTGTTGAAGCTCATATTGACACATTCTGTCTATTTTCCTACCCCAGGGGTCTGCTACCTTTACTGTCAAAATAACTTTTCAATAGAAAAGGACGTGACTTTTAAAGAATCTCACCTCACGTGATCTCTTTTTATATGCACATTTTTTTCTAATCATGTAGTTCCGTGTTATTGTTGTTGCATGCCTCATATAGCAAACAAATGTAACTAACTTATAACTTCTCAGAAACTGAGACCAAACTCCTGGTTTGTGCACCAAACCAGGAGTTTGATATGCAGTCAGTTAAAAGTACATATTTTAAGGTCAGAAATGGTTTGATGTTTTGGAATGTTAATTTATGTAGAAGAAAAACCTATCATAAAATCATTAGGAGTGAGATTTAAACTCTATGCATTTGTTTACTCTGTATATCAGGTTTGGCTTTGATGTTCCAGTGTTTCTTCTGAGCCATGAGGATTCAGAGTCCACAGTGTCGACTCCTGAGAAACTAATGGTTCAGGAGACCAATCCGTTTTCTCTTGCACTGGGATCTGGGCCAGCATGTGTCAGTGGTGAGTAATAAAATGTAATCAGGTAAAATAATGGAAGCTTTGGATGCACATGTGAGAGAATGAACTTATCTGTAGAAAGAATTACAAAGGACTTCTCATTGACCCCTTCTGTCAACTTTAGTTGTCTAATATTAAAATAAACACAAACTTGAATTGCAATTACATAGCTACATTAATTTATTTGGACCAAAACACTCCACGCGAATTAGAAATAGAGCATTTAATGTCATTAAACATGTAAAAGCTCTCACCTAAAAATCTGTGTTGAACAATTAATACTGTTGTTAAAGGAAGATTTGGTAAAGCATTGATGGATCAAAAAGCAGAACTTGACCTTTGCATAATATCCCATTTTTTAAAGAGTCTGTTATTTCTTACAGAATTTCACAAAAGTGAGTACCCCCCTCTAATTTTTATTAATATTTTATTCTGTCTTTTCAGTGGACAGCACAGAAGTAGTTTGTAGTCAGCATACAGCTGGTATAACAATCCCCTCAAAATAACACGCAGCCATTAATATCTAATCCTCTAGTAACAAAAGTGAAGACACACTAAAGTGTACTCTAAAGTAGCTAATAAATTGTTTAATGAACCATTTCCCCTCTGTGGTGACATGTTTATGTGTCACCATTACACATCTCAGCTGTGTTAAATCTGTTATCACTCTCACAGTCTCTCATACTGTTTACTTGAAGTTTAGCATGACATCTCCCAGTAAATAAGTCTCTGAGGATCTGAACAAAAGAACTGTTGCCAGAGAAAGCCCAAACATGCAAACTCCAAAAAGCACAGAGTTTGGGCTTTCTCTGGCAACAGTTCTTTTCTAACCCAGGAGCTTGTGGCTGCACAGCGACAGTGCTACCAACTGCACCACTGTGCCAGCACACAAAGAGACTAGTATTTCTCCATGAAGAAGTGTTTTGGATGAAAGGTGAGATGTTTTCAAGACACAGAACAAGATGACTAGTTGCCTTCTTCATCAGCACTATTGACTGAGGAGCTACACCAGAGAGAAGCTCCAGAAAATTATAAATCAACAGTTCTGTGTTCTTCCTTCAGATGTTCCTGGTATTTGTACGGTATGTCTAGGGATCCATTTCCGCTAACCATTGCATGCACTCCTTTGTAGATGGTGTATCACTGAAACCTTGCTGCTTGGAGCCTTGTGTACTGAGCTGTTTCTGGGGCTGTGAAGTCGGCGCTCTGCAGGAGGCGCTGCACACCCATCAACAAAACCTAAGGTTCACAAGTCCTCAACACGTCCTTGAAGCGCTGCACCATCGGTTCCACTACCATCAAACATTCTAGTATCCTTTTTATTGCAACCACAGAACATGATCTGAAAAAGTTTTAATTATGGACCACAGTAGTGTGTAATTTGTTGTAGACAGTGAGGAAACTATGGCATGGATTGAATGGCAGCCTCACTTCTACAACATAGCTTATCCCCTTCTGAGTAAATGTTTGTATGGATGGGTGAATGATAGATTGTGTAAAGTGCTTAAATTGATTATGCTTCACAGTGGATGTCTCTGATTCAATTTAGTCCATTTCTATCACTACTTTATAAAAATTGTCAGCAATTTCTCATCTCAGTAACAAGTTAGTCTGAGTGCAAAGTGACCTGCAGGCAACGTGAAACAGTCAGACTTGTGATGTATAATGTGGTTTGATTCTGAGCTTTATTTATAAAAATAATAACTTATTTGGGGCTGCACAGTGGCACGTGGGTAGTGCTGTTGCCTTGCAGCAAGAAGGTCCTGGGTTTGATTCCCGGCCCGGGTTCTTTCTGCACGGAGTTTGCATGTTCTCCCTGTGCATGCTGGGTTCTCTCCGGGTTCTCCGGCTTCCTCCCACATGTTCTGACAGGTTAATTGGCCTTCCCAAATTCTCCCTAGGTGTGAGTGTGAGTCTGTGTGTGTGTGTGTGTGTGTGTGTCTGTGCATGGTTGTTTGTCCTGTTTGTCTCTCTGTGTTGCCCTGCGACAGACTGGTGACCTGTCCAGGGTGAACCCCGCCTCTCGCCCGGAACGCAGCTGGAGAGGAACCAGCACCTCCCGACCCCGTTAGGGAGGAGGGTGATCAGAAAATGGATGGATGGATGGATAACTTATTTGGACTTTATTCTGTGTGTTAGATACCAATTATTTTATCACATTGACTCAGACAATAAGACGGGTACCGCTTTGACTTCATCCTGCCAGTATCTGCAGCAAGGACGAAAAGGAATGTCACACCTGCATCCCTGCTGACCAGAGGATTCCAGATTTTGGGCTGTTGCCAAGAAAACACTATCCTCTCGTGGCTGTCCTGACTCTGGCAGAAACTGAGACCAGAAATCTATACAATATTGTTAGTTCTTTTCATTACAATTTAAAATGGAATGTGAAAGAGCAAGTAAAGATTGGCATGTGCATAATTATGCTCATAATTTCCTCTGACAGTGAACTGCTTCGTTCTCTTCCAGGTGGCAAATGTAATCGTTATTCACGTCCCTGATGGGAAATACAATCTTTCTGCACGAATTCTCTTCCAGTATCTTCTTACCTCACAAGGTCACATGCATGAATTAAAAGTATGTCAAATTTATCTTTAAAGACATTTTCCTAATTTCCTTGACATTGAAACAAGTTACTGGTACATAACAGATGTGGACAAAATTACTGCTGAACAAGAACCTTAATTTGAATATGCATGCTTCCATTTACCTTTAACTTGCTGCTGGAAAAGCTGGACACCCCCTTCGTAGCTCATTATAAAGTATTTCTATGATATTCTTATATCCATAAATCCTTTAGTCAGTCATGCAATCATTTTTAATTTTAACTGCCACTTCAGTGTGTGCTTTCAATTGTCTGTAAATTTAATGTTGATACAACAAAATTTTACTATTATGGGAAAGGAAAAGAATCAGTTAAAAAGTATTAAAATTAATGGTTTCAATAAAAACATGGTCCAAACAAATGTATTTATCAGGAATCCTGTGGAATTTCTTTCTGTTTAATATTTTCTGTTGTGATCAACAGAAGCAGGGAATGTTGATCTGGTTTGTTTTGTTGCTTGGTCATTTACTAGTTTTTATTAGGAAGAAAAGAAAGTAATTGTATAAATTACAACACAGTGCATCAGAATAAATAGTGTTGGTTCAGTCTGTCTGGGCTCTAACTGGGTTCTCTCTGTGATTGCAGCCGCTCTTTATGTCTGCTGAAGGTTCTGGGCAGCTGGCTGGAGGACAGATGGACGGAAGTCCTGACCGAGGGGAGAGTGACTGGTCAGAGGAGACGGGTAGAAACTGTGTTGTATGTCAGAATGCAGCGGTCAACAGGGTGCTGCTGCCATGCCGACACGCCTGCGTTTGTGACAGTTGCATGTTGCATTTTCAACACTGTCCAATTTGCAGAGCCTTTGTCCTGGAATCATTTGCACTTAGACCAACATTACAAATATAATTTATGTCATATGGACGATGCACTACAAACAAGATTGCTTATCACCTTTATATGGCGTTAAAGATCCTGTACTTGCATGCAAACACACTGAGGTCTTTCAACTCAGCGTTGCTTCCAAGCTGCCTTTATTTCCTCTTGTATTAACACCTTCTAATAATCTGGTTTTAGAGAACCGATGTCAAGATGTCAGATATTATCCAAGTTTTTTTTGTTGTTTGTTTTTGTGTCTATCACTAAATGAAACTCATGTATTATTTAATTTTATTACAGATATAAAATATTACAGAATAAAATATCTTAAGCCCTGTGCAAATTAATGCTTATCACTGAATTATTTGATTCAGACTTGTTAAATTAGTGACAACTACAAAAATGCAGGACCTTAGTCTAAATCAGGAGTCTCAAACTCCAGTCCTCGAGGGCCACAGTCCTGCAACTTTTAGATGTTCTTCTGCTGCAACACACCTGAATAGAATAAATAGGTAATTAAAGCTCTGGACAACTGATCTACACAAGGAGGAGGTAATTAAGCTGTTTCATTCCAGCGTTTTTTTGTATCTATTGCACATCTAAAAACTGCAGGACTGCGGCCCTCGAGGACCGGAGTTTGAGACCCCTGATCTAAATACACTGAAAAGAAACTATTAAAAATAACCTAAATCTGAAGGATCCGTAATACAGGCAGGTGTCAAGAAGAGCGGTCCTCTGATAAACTCAAGATATCAAGAGGATAAAATAATAGAGGAAAATACAATGTCCACATAATTAATCCTTTAAATTGGTACAATGAAAGTGATCTTCAAAAGCTCCACTGGCTGGCAATTTATTTAACAAGAAAGTGAGTGAGCAGGTAGTTTCAGAACACCAAGCATCATCTAACAGCAGATACCAGAATCCATGGGCCACATGCAGCTGCCTGAGCAAACAAGAGGAGAAGTGTACATTTAAAGTGCTTAAAGCAGATGACATCACAGTCACCATATCAGAAAGAAATTCTGCCAATAAATATATTACTTTTATGAAAGTTACTATTACCAGGGAAAGCCCATGTTTGACTTGTTTTGCTTCTGCATTCTCCAAAGAGTTTGTGGAACATTTAGCCAAAAGAAAAAGATCTTTAGATTGTACATCAAGTTAATATCTCAAGAATGAAATATTAACATTTCTTACATGAAAATCTTCAAGATGCTGCATGAACTGACTACTAAATACATTGTTGTGTGGCAATGCAATACTTTTGTGAGAAAACGCAAAAGAAAAAAAATCCCCATTATGCTTTAAAGAGCTCTGTAAAATATGCCTGAAATTAGAGATAAAAATTTGACCTGGAATAAAGCCTGATTGGTTTTATGTGGGGTTAATTGTTGGTCAATAAATGTGTTAAGCTTATTAGACGAAAATGTGGACAGTATTTTCTGATAACTTTGTATCCTTCAGCTTCTTTTGGGTCATTTCCTTATTTTATAATATTCATGACAGAATGATAAACTGTTTCAGGAAGTCTAGAATCCTACCCTATCCCTAACCCCACATTATAGTCAAGTTTGAATGAGGCAGATATACTGTAGCACCAAATGTAACAGCAGATTTTGAAAATCTGCAAACATTTTCAGTTAGTTGTTTTACACTGGAAAGTTCTACTGAAATAGCACCTGTCAAGCCACCATGAATGAGGAACTGTAGATCTCTGGGAAAAGATCTGCAGTCTGTAACCATCTTTCTGCTACAGTAACAGAAACTCCACACTAAGTTCTGCACAAATGACCCCATCGGAAACAAACGCAATAAACAGAAACATCAATACATCTGTAATAGTACTGTATTTGCAAACTAGTTTTACACAATTGGTTTATAGAAGAACAGAATGATCAGCAGAACCGAAGAGGTATAAACAACAGAAAGCAGTTTCATTTAATTTCTCATTCATTCATCATTGATGTTCACTGCTCCAAGTCTTTGTGGTTTTGAAGCAGTGAAAACAACAAGCCAGTGAATGAGAAGAACATTAAACCAGAAAAAGCACTGAGACGAAGGGTTTAAACAGGTTTGTAGTCCAACTTGGACTCAAGCTTCTTTGAGTCGGCCACTTTGCGAACAGCTTTCATGAAGTCTTCTTGAGTGACATACTCACGATCAGACCGGATCGCAAACAGTCCTGAGAAAACAAAAGTCAGCATAAAAACCCTAATCAAGGAGGTAAGTGTGCAAAGGATTCCGGGTTTTAGCAGACAGTGGGATTATTACCTGCTTCAGTGCACACATTTCTCAGATCAGCACCATTGAAACCATCAGACAGTTTTACAATGGCTTCAAAATCTGGTGAAATATCAAAAAAATCAAGAAAATTAAAGCTAGAAGATTTTTTGTGTTAGACTAACTTTGAGCAAACGGATAAACTTACACACACAAAAAAACTTTGATTTTATTTTTTTGATGGTTATTGAACACCCAGGTCTAACTAAAAGGTGCATCAAAGTTCACCTGGATGCAATTTGTGTACCAACCTATTTCGCCATGCTTGGTGATGGGACTGGAGTGAATTTTCAGGATGTCCAGTCTTGCTTGTTCATTTGGCAGTTCAATGTCTAAAGAGGAAAACACACAGAGCTCTTGTTGTGCGTTTCCACATGAAGCCGACTGATGAACACAGAAAATAATGCTTACGTATTTTCCGGTCCAGTCTTCCAGGCCGCAGTAGCGCTGGATCCAGGGTGTCCGGCCTGTTGGTGGCCATGATCATCTTGACTCTGTGTAGAGTATCAAAACCGTCCATCTGGTTCAGCAGCTGACAGAACACAGGAAAGAGAAGAGTCATCTTCCAGATCTTAGCCTGAGTTTGCATCAGACTTTCTTGATGTCAGTCAAGTCAAAATAACAGAATTGATAATTATAACTGCATAATAACTGCAATAAATGCAGTTTTCTGGACGATCGCCACTAGTTTTGATCGCCTCTAGTTATGCTATGACAGCATTTTTGTTTTGTCAGGTAATGTAAAATAAAAAATACAAGTATACACTATTTTTGTAAATATTGATATTTTTAATAATGCAGTTTGCATTAGTTCTGAGAAATGTTAACCATCTCCAAGTAAAATAGTGACTGTGCAATATCCTGAACTGATTGAAAATCAATAAAAACTGAATTGTGATTTAAACTGACTTTGGCAATCTTAATTGAGATCCAATAATACATAATTATGTCCTAATAACGCACAATTCATATACAGACTCCATTAAGACTCCTTTGCCAAGTTTGTTCACAAAAACAGCTACTTGACTTGTTTTTAACCAACAAAAAAGTTGAATTAGTGCAAATGTGCACTCTGGACACTGATAGTTAAGAGTTCAGAGGGACAGTCTGGGGAAGGAAACCGTTTCCATGGCAGCAGCAGCAGGTTTTTGTAAATAGAGCTCTGTGGTGTTGCCCTAAAGATAAAAATCTAGATAGATTATGATGAGAGTGGTAATGTCCTTCCCACCAGAACACAGCAAATGATATTTATTTCATACCTCCATCAGCGTTCTTTGGATCTCTCTATCAGCTGAAGTACCTTCTGAGAAACGGCGGCCACCTGCAGAAAATGATATGACAATATTTAGCCCCATAGTATTTGACCCAATCAAGCATGACATTCTGTAGAATGTTCTGTTAGGAGGTGATAAATCCCAGTGGACCAACACCAGCAGAGGACATGGCACCTCAAACCACCTGTGCCTGTGTATTCAGTGGTGATGGTGGTAGAACTTTGTCCTGTAATGACTGATTTGCTCTTAGTAACTGAACTTTTATGGCTACTGTCTGGCCACAAACATTGTGCTTAGTATAAAACTTTGATATTTTTGGCATGGTTACAGATTATCTTCCTATAATGTGACCCCTGGCAATCTTCACAGAGGGACTTTATATAATCTACAATCAATCAAATAAGCAGAGAGCTAGCATGATTCCTCACCAATGGCATCAATCTCGTCCATGAAGATGATGCATGGCTGGTGGTCCCGGGCATAGTTGAACATCTCTCTAATGAGCCTTGCACTTTCACCGATGTATTTGTCCACAATGGAGCTGGACACAACCTGTAATGTGTAAGATGCTGTTACACGGCTGTTGAATGGAGCTGAACACTGCAGGAAGGACTGATTCTCACCTTTAGAAAGTTGCAATCCAACTGACTGGCCACAGCTCTGGCAAGAAGAGTCTTCCCAGTGCCTGGTCCAGAAAAAAAATCATACCATTAAATTTTAAGAACCATTTATGACAAGCTAAAAACAGTAGAACATAAAGAAAAAATGCCTCCTTATGAATGGTAAATGGATTGAACTTATATAGCGCTTTTCCAGTCATTTTGACCACTCAAAGCACTTTACAGTAGAGTGACATTTATCCATTCGCACTCACAAGCACACACATTCATACACCAATACACAGACCGGTAGGCAACTTGGGGTTACGTGCCTCGCCCAGGGGCACATCGACATGTGACAGGAGGAAGCTGGAATTGAACCTACAACCTTCCAATTGCAAGATGACCACTCTGCCACACAACCACAGTGTCTGAACTTAAATTAATGTGACTAAAACAAATGTGTGAAGTTGGCCAGCTCCTACCTGGAGGCCCATACAGCAGGCAACCTTTTGGAGGAATAATTCCCACTCTCTGAAAGAGCTCAGGGTTGGTCAGAGGAAGTTCAATCACCTGCAAAATAAGAATAGGCAGGTTTGTCAATGTGGGATGAGTCAATGAAATTCCCTGAGGTTTTTACAGGACATAGCACAATACATCCACAGTTCTCAATACGTCCCGGAAGAAAAACCAGGAAGATAGAGACATCACAGCAGTTTTAAAGTCCGTCCACTGGCTCCCTGTAGCTCAAATAATAGATTTTAAAATACTGTTGTTAGTTTATAAATCACTGAACGGTTTAGCACCACAATACATTAAAGATCTGCTGTTGTTGTATCAACCTTCCAGACTCTCAGGTTCTGGTTCTGGTTCTGCTCTACATCCCAGAACCAGAACCAAGAGAGGAGAAGCAGCTTTCAGCATCTATGCACCAAACATTTGGAACAAACTTCCAGAAAACTGTAAAACAGCAGAAACCCTGACTTCCTTTAAATCTCTACTAAAAACATACATGTTTAGAATTGTATTTGAAATGTAATATGTAACAATGTATTGTCTATTATATGATGCATGACTTTGTGTTCTTGTGTTTATGATGTAAAGCACTTTAAAATGCCTTGCTGCTGAAATGTGCTATACAAATAAAATTTGATTTGATTCATTCAAAAGGTAAGTTCCCCTCGTTCCTGA